ATGCATCCTTCTTCACTCCACTGAGGAGAACGCAGCATTTACCATGTGAAATGGACTCAGAATCAGCCTCCCACCTCTCCCGCCTCAGAAGCATCCCCTTGTCCCCCCCCCCCAGTACTCTCCCTCACACCAACTGACGTGGTTCATTCCTCATGTTCACTGTGTGCGTGTAGTCAAGCCGCAGCAACACACTGAGCCATCAGTACCCCCCAGCGTCCCCGCTTCCTAGTCCCCCAGGCGACGATGGATGCATGCAAACCGTGCACGGAGCACCTTCTGCCGCACTTGACGCTGGATCGGTAAACGGGGTGAGTACCGCCGTTTCCTTCTCGTCATTCACGCCCCTCCTCTCAGACTGCAATCTAGTTCACAACATGTCATGTAACAAGTGTCTCGTGACGCCGGAGTGTTCGGGAATCCTCGCGGGACACGGAGCCCGGATTATTTCCAAAGTTGTTGCAGGGCAAGTTTTGCTGTGTTTTCTTTTTGAGGCTTGAAAGGAAAAAAAAAGAAAGGAGACGAAAGGCATCATGTCGTGCTGTTTTTTTTTTTTTTTGAGGCTGGAAAGAAAAAAAAAGAAAGGAGACGAAAGGCATCATGTCGACACCTGCATGATGTAAAAAGCTCGAATGCGAGGAAAAAAAAAGGCAAAAAAATTGCACAAGTCAAACAAATGGTGCAGAACTGAAATCTGAAAAAAAATGGTCCTTTCACAATTTCTTTCTCAAGTTATTATTATTTTTCGGGTCACCGTCGGCAGAGTTTTCTCCAGCTTCCTCCACAACATTCACTTTAGGTTCTTTGAAAATTCAAAAGGTGCGATTGCGAGTGTTGTCTGTCTGTCTTTGTGTGTCTCTGTGATTGGCTGACAACCAGTACAGGGTGTTCCCTGCTCACCAGTGACCCCGTTGAGGACAAATGCAAGAAAAATGGATGGATGGACAGCTTGCGATAGTGTGGTTGTTTTGACAGCTGAGCTGCTAGCTGAACGCTAACACTCAATGCAAAACGCAATAGATGAGCAGATGAAATTCGCATCAATATCGTGGCATTACAATGCTTTGAGGAAAGGATATTTGAAGACAATATGACAATACCCCTAAAAAATATTCTTTATCTTTTGCAAAAAAAAAAAAAAAAACAAATAGTGCGGCTTGCTGAGGCATTATACATTATACTGACCCCTGATGGTCAAGATGCGCACACCAGAGGCACACACAGTGACTCACTGTTTAATTATTTACATTTCATTATAACTATGTTTGTTGGCAAACTGTTGGTATTTTTATTTTAATGGGCTTTGGAACGGATTGATAGCATTTCCATTCATTTCAATGGAGGGAGATTATTTAGACACATGGGCATTCTTAACTGATTCTCGTTAATTTTCACATAACAATCACGGTTTGCTGTGACAAAATATTGAACAAATTCAAAAGCCTGAAGCGTTTTCTCACACATTGGAGAGAAAAAAAAAATCTTAACATAAACAACTGAATTATCGCTCATGATTATCTTTCAAAGTCTGGTGACTTGCTTATTTGAATGGAGATGACGAACTAACTAAGATGACCAACCTGACAAAGTTGAGCTACGACATTCCCGGTGACCGCTTCGAATTGGCGATCGTTCAGTTGCACAAAACAATCACCGAATCCACGGGTTGTTCGATTCGAGATGGTCACATTTATGATTGTTAGCCCCGCCTTTTTTTCTGAGCAGGCCAGAGAAATCGCAATTAATTAATCGCTCAGGCAGCTAAAAAAATGGGCTTTGGCTGACTCTGATCTTAGGCGAGGGGGAAAAAAAAAATTTCGGTATGCGTCTCCATCTTTCTCCCCATCATCTGTTTTACTCTCTTGTGACGTCAGCGGCCAAGGGGTCTCCTTCGGTGTGGATGCAAAACCCGATTATGAGATAGGGATTGCTTTTCGCTCGGCTTCGCCCTCACGACAGCTTTCCAATTTCATGGCTGTTAGGTGTGCTAATAGGAGCCGGAACAACAGAGGGCGGAGGGGCCCTTCATTGGAGTGCGATGCCAAGAGACTGAAAAGGACTGTCATATATATATGTCATAGCTGGCTGCTATTGTTATTACTTTGGTGGACCTTATGGATGAAACCCGGTGAGTGATAGGCAACGGATCAATACGGCAGCGGTAAAAGATACATGAGGCTTCACCTCAAGGAACAAGTGGGAAGGAGGAATTTTGATTTTGTTTTTTTTTGGGGCATTTTATTTTTTTTTTTTTTTTAAGAATTGATTTTTACTTATTTATTTATTTATGAATTTATTTTGCTTTTCCACAACCTACCAAGAAATACTCACCCGATTTGAAATTCGCCAACCGAGCCAACAATTAGACTGCAACAAGCAAAACAATGAGATCTTATTGATTCAAAGCCCCCAGTTCGAACAAAACCCGACAAGGAGAACATCCACCGGAGCCCGTTGCAAACTAAAGTGTCTGTCGAGGCATATTTTTTGCATGTCCTGGTTCGCGGAGGATATGCTATTCTCGCCATTTAATTAACGAGCAGTTTCTTCTCCAAATTTTTCTTCCGAAATTATATTTCATGCACAAATAATGACAGTTTGTCACCTGATAACCCGATAAGCTGTCCATTGTAGTAGCCACTGCCCTTGAAGGGGGACTTCATATTTTATTATGAGTTTATTTTTGTCATATTTTCTCAGTACATTACATCTTTATGCTCGTATAACTCTGGTATTTTCTCAAATGACTTTTTTTTCCCTCACAACATTAAGACTTGTTTTCCTTGTGCTGTTGTGACTTGACAGACAACTTCCTGGTTCATGTCGGATGGTTACAAAAGTTACAAAAGTTCAGGTGGTGATATTTATTTCCATCTAGGAGTTCAATCTACCAACGTGAATTAAAAAAAAAAAAAACTAAACGGAAAACGTTCATCTGCTAACACACCCTTTGGCTGTGTCACAAGCGCTGCCATGTAAAATGAATGACCGCATGAATATTACAGGCAACCAGATCCACTTAACAGGCCGGGGTCAAGGTTATGTGAAGATTTTTCCAGGACGGATCACTTATAGACGGCCCGGCTGGTCGGACGGATGGAAGCCGTCGGACGGAATACAGAAGCGGAGAAGGGAGTCAGGTGATGCGAATTTATTGGCGTGAAGATACGACCTGCGGTGAAAATGAAATATTCAACGAGGCATGTCGAAACACTTGGCATGATCCGCGGAAATCCCTGCGCACCTGCGTCAGGAATGAGTAGGATGCTCATTGGCTGGTTTGATAGGTGGTGGTTCTCAAAAAGTTTTACGCCAAGTACCACATAAAAAAAAAATATAGGATGATATATATATTTTTTTTCTTCTTACTGAAAGAATCCATGAGCAAAAATGTATTGCAGATACAAGTTGAGCAAAAAAATTGGACCTAAATCAAAATTTTAAAAGCAAAAAGTTCAGAAAGCTCAAATGCAAATGTATTGTCCGAAAAAAGTTAAACACAACTGACTTGTACTTACGGTACGTGGTGATTCTTTTGTGTGCCACAGGAGGGAGCTAGAATACAGATATTTTTAAGACAAACGTTTTTTTTTTGTTTCCCCAAAACACCAAAATAAATATGACCTGGTTTCTTGAAATATACTTTTCTTAAGAATATTAAAGTTAGTTTTACAGTGATTTAAAAAAAAAAACAAAACACTGATCTAAATATAACGATCTGCGAATATTCAGAATCCCTTTGATCTTTTTTTAAATGATTGATTTTACATTCCAATAAATGCAACATTAAAGCAGAAACGTTTCATTTTTGGCAGTCTTGCATCATGAATAAGTCATGCTTAGCTATGTAGCTGCCCTGGCGCATAGCCGTGCACACGCATTAGTTAGCCAGACGTGTTTCTTTGGACAGAGACGCGAGGTCAGGAGGGAAGCGCAAAGATTGAAACTTCTTTTCCTTTCAAAAAAACGTATACTGTCCTTGAAAGAAAAGCTCAAATGTCAGTTGACAGTGAAAAAAAAAAAATGGAACTGGCCTTAACGTTCCACAACATTTGGAGCGGCAAACACCTATCGTGTTTGGTTTCTCATATTATTTGGACTCCATTCTTCAGTCAAATGTTCCTATTTTTCAATTCAGCGTGGCCTGAACCCTTTCAGGGACAGCAGTTACTACAGTGGTCAGCTTATCGTGTGATTAGGTTACAGGGTGCATGAAAGGGTTAACGTGCTTCCGTCTTCAAAAAAAAAAAAAGTACTCGTAACGGACGACTGACGATGCAAAATGAAGGCGGGCAGCGGAACGGGGAGGGATAAGAAATAGGAATGTTTCTTTTTGTTTCCGTGGTAAAAGAACTCCCCGAGTGGCGCTGTAAGCCCTTTTAGCGCCGTCGGAAAATTGCACTTGAAAGGTTGTCGGCAGCCTGGCTGACAACCCTGGATAAGACACTCAAGTGGCTTTTTCGCCGTTGCGAGAAAAAAAAATCGCTGAAACGGCTTCCCGAGAGAATGCGTGTAGTACTCAAAAAAATAAATAAATAAATACACAGTCGTTGGACTTAATGTATGTTGTCAGTTTTTGTATGGTGGCAATTTTGGGGAAAAAAAAATCAATTATGCAGAAAGACGTCTTCAAGCTAGTTTAAGTGTACGGTTAAAATAAGCCCAAAATAAAGAAAATTACAACAGTGGCATTCAAAACAGCCAAACAAATGGGTCAAGAAAGGCCCTGCTAGTGTAAAAATTGTAATTGGCGTCTGTTGCTCTAATGCGTGGGCAACTGATTGATCTGTACTCAACGGCATATTAACTTTATCCTCTACGTAGAAAGACTATTATTAGTGCTGTGCTGATGACCTCACAAACGTATTGAGATGTTATGATGAATCCCATTTGAGTTCTAGACCCTCAGGAGCGTTGCGGGCGTGCTGGAGCCTATCCTAGCTGTTTTCGGACAGGAGGCTGGGTACACCCTGAACTGGTCGCCAGCCAATCACAGGGCATACAGAGACAAACAACCATTCATACTCAAAACCACCCCTAGGTACAATTTGGAGTGGCCAATTAATCTACCATGCATGTTTTTGGAATGTGGGAGGAAACCGGAGTACCCGGAGAAAACCCACGCAGGCATGGGGGAGAACATGCAAACTCCACACAGGAAAGCCGAGACCTGGAATCGAACCCAGCACCTCCACACTGTGAGACGGACGTGCTAACCAGTCGATCACCGTGCCTGTCTATATACAGTCGATCTATCCATTCATCAATTTAGTCCCAGTTGTTGTCTTCCAGATGCAGAATGACTCGACATCCATTTTGGAATGGCCTAACATGACATATCACAATGCCAGCGGGGCCAACGCCAGCGGGCCCGGCTCGGGCGGCGACACGTACAAGCCGTTTTCGCTGTTCAGCGTGCTGACGCTGACACTGCTGGCCATGCTGGCCGTGGCAACTTTCGTGTGGAACCTGTTGGTTCTGGTGACCATCCTGCGGGTGCGCACCTTCCACCGGGTGCCGCACAACCTGGTGGCTTCCATGGCCATCTCCGACGTGATGGTGGCGGCGCTGGTGATGCCGCTGAGTCTGGTTCACGAGCTGAACGGACGCCTGTGGAAGCTGGGCCGAGTGCTCTGCCAGGTGTGGATTATCTTGATAATTAAAAAATAAACTTTTTGGGGGTAAAATTGCTTTTACTTTAATTGTAATATTTGGCTTTTTTTTCCCTGGAATATTAGGAGGTTATTGTGGAGTAATATTTTGCATTGTTTAAAAAAATATCGCAAATCCAACTATTTACCTGAAAATTATTCTCATACTACTACTTGTGACATTTTTTTTTTAAATTGCAAGATTCGAATTGTCTTCAATTTGGAAATACCGTATTTTCCGCACTATAAGGCGCACCTAAAAGCATTCAAAGCTCTGCGCAGCCATTATGAAACGAACGTAATACCAAAACCGTAGTTAACTACTGACTCAACGAAGGAAGAAGGAGACAAGCAAGACTTCTAAGGATGTTTAGCCCGTTGTGGATGTGAATGCACTAGGTTTGTGTGCCTTTTTGTCAAATCAATTGTCTCCATAACTTTCATTTATTGTTTTGTAATGCCGTTTGTATTTATGTTTCATGTCCGTGTTTGTGATCAGTTCTAATGGCTTTGTTACAGCTGCAGCGGTTGTGAACGTTAGTCTATACAGTATAAATAAAGCTGTATTGTATTGTATTCCTTTAGCGTAGCACCACCTAGTGGATGCATAGCGCAACCGCAGCCACTATTGTAGCTTCTATTCTACGCGCCTTATAATGCAGTGCGTCCTATACTGTATATGAAACCCGCTTTAAAATAGGCTATTCATTGAAGGTGCGTTTTATAATCCGAAGCGCCTTAGTGTAGAAAATACGGTCAACATTTTCTTTTTTCCTTACGTAACGTGCGCCGCACCAGGTATGGATCTCCTTTGACGTGCTGTGCTGCACGGCTAGCATCTGGAACGTGACGGCCATCGCTCTGGACCGCTACTGGTCTATCACGCGCCATCTGGAGTACACGCTGAAGACACGCAAGAAGATCTCCAATGTGATGATCGTCCTGACGTGGCTACTGTCGGCTATCATCTCGCTCTCGCCGCTCTTCGGCTGGGGCGAGACGTACACCGAGGGCATGAAGTGCCAGGTGAGCCAGGAGCCGTCTTACACCATCTTCTCCACCTTCGGCGCGTTCTACCTGCCGCTCTGCGTGGTGCTCTTCGTCTACTGGAAGATCTACAAGGCGGCCAAATTCCGGATTGGCTCCCGCAAGAGCAACACCATCACGCCCATGGCAGAGGTGATTAACAACATTGACGCCGCAACGAATCAAGGTTCTTATAGTTGGCAAAGTAAAATAAATAGTAATAAAAGTAATTTAAAAAATACGGTAAAATAAAATAACGATTAGCTAACTACAATTAGAGCAAAAATGTCTATTTTTATATTTGTCAATTTTGTACGTTGAATTTCAAAGTATGTATGTATTATTGTACGGACATATGGAAGAAAGAAGGTCGTTATATCGAATAGTAATTTATTTTATGACACAATTGTGACTTTTTTTGATCCATAGTCTTGATACAAAAAAAAACAAAATTAATATTAAACCTAATATCAATGAAGCCTTTAAAAAAAAAAAAAAAACCAATAAGAACTAACAAAATCCGTTTTAAAAATTAACAAAACCGCATTTAATTGAAAAAAGTTAAAAACTAAAACTAACACTGAAATAAAATATAAATGAAACATTAAAAAAAATGAAAACGAACAAAATCACTCTAAAAACTAAGACGAACTGAATTTGAAAAACAAAAGTCCACATTAAAAAAAAAACTCGAATCTATACCTCATTTTACAACTTTATTCTCATGTGCATATTTCTAAAAATGTATTGCAAATATTGTTTGTAATTGTAATTTATGTAACATTCAACATTTGTCTTCTGAATTTTTTCTTCATCTAAATCACAATTTTCCTCACATAAATAAAATAATGATTTCATTCCATTTTCTATGAATTTTTTTTTCTGGTGATATTACAATTGTAATTTAAAAAAAAAAATCACCTACATATATTTTTAATATTAGCACTTTTTATTGAAGTGCAAAATATCAAATTTAAGAAATATTACAATTTTCCCAAAAATGTTTTCTGGCAATTTGCCGCGTTTGTTCACTTTGAGAACGTGATGATTTAAACTCCACCAATGATTTCTATTTGAAGCCATGAAGGTATTTGGCGCGAATCAGAATCATTTCCTGTATGGTGTTCATGTGCGAGATTGGCTATAAGTATCAGCGCGCTCGAAAGGATCGGACACTCATCTATTCATCGAGCACCCGCAAAGACGAAACAATAAAAATAGAGTCTTTGTACCAAAGGCATCTTAATGAAGTGACTCAGCCTTTTGGGGACAAAAACTAAAATCACGATTTTCCTTCCAATCCAACACAGTCACCTGTCATGCAAAAAATAGCCTCGAATTGGAAGCGGAAAATCTTACGGAAGTAATTAGAAGCTGAATCAGAGTGTAGTGCTTAGCGCTTCAAGCAAGAGAACTCCGCTCGAGCAGCAGTACGACAAGTTTAGTTTTATTAGATTTTTTTTTTTTCTCCATCTCCTCTTGCCGGCATGTCATCTTGTTAAGACTCGCTCAGATCTGGGGTGTCGGAAGCACTGTGCACTCATGTATTATCCGCAGCCAGAGTGAGAAAAAGTTATCGCGCAAATAGAATCGTCTGCGCATTTTGTATGCAGGCCTCGAGCAGATAAACAAAAGGAAGACGAGTCGGCTTTGTATCGCGAGACAGAAGAAGAAGGAAATCACAATTATTGACATTATTGAGTTGCTCGGTTTGAGTTTGCCGGAACGAGGCAAACACAAGCGTCACGCTCTGCTTGTTTGTTGATCCACTGGACAAATCTCCACGCTGGCAATCATAATCCAGTTGCTGAGCCTCCGTGGTTGAAAATGGGGTTGAGGTATTGATCGCCAAGGCAGGCAAGTGGCAGGCGCGCGGGAGCTAATGTGTCTACGGCTGGTGAGCGCCCAAAGCTAACACGACATTACTCAGTCAAAAAGCAACAAAAAAAAAACATCCACTCAAATGCATGACATCTGTCAGACAACATCCACATACGAAGTCCAATGTGTTAGTATGAAGTAACGATACCAGGTATTGTATCGGGCTGATAACGGCTTCATATTACTTGTGAAGGACGCCGATACTGGCCACCGATACTTAAAGCAAAAAAATAAAATAAGAGTGTTTCCTTGCTAATAGTGGTGCTACACTGTAACCATTTGACACGTCGGTATCGGTGAGTATCGGTCTGAAAAAAAAGTGGCATCGAACATCCCTCATTCAAATGTTGTGCGACTACATCCGTCTTTTTTTCAACGGTTTCTAATTACCATATTTTTTACACTAAAAGGCGCACTCGATTAGGAGGCGCACCTTCAATGAATGGCCTATTGTGTAATTCTGTGCGACTACATCGTCTTTTTTTCAACGGTTTCTAATTACCGCATTTTCCACGCTAAAAGGCGCACTCGATTATGAGGTGCACCTTCAATGGATGGCCTAATTTGTAATTTGTTTCATACATTGGGCATTATAAGACGCAATCTACTATGCATCCAGTAGATGGAGCTACGCTCAAGGAAACACCAACAGAACGATCAGATGTCAGTCAAACTTATTTAATAAAGCAGCGGCACAGTTCACTTCACCAACAGCAAGTTTTAACATTGACTCATTCACGTTGAATGCTCTTGCCGCTGCTCTATCTCCGTGTTCAACTGCGTAAACGATCGCCTTAAGTTTGAACTCTGCGTTGTCAGCATGTCTCGAGCAAGGGGTCGACATATTACCGTAATGACCATACACAAGCGCATCGGATTTTAAGGCGCGGTGAGCTTTTAAGAAAATGGAAGGCTTTTAGGTGCGCCTTTTAGTACGGAAAATACGGTACTCTTGCTAGCAGTTTTAATATTCTCTTTCGTGCAGATCAATTCATTCTCGGGCAGTTTTAGTAGAAGCCTTTGAATATTCTCTTTCGTGCAGATCAATTCATTCTCGGGCCACTGTTCCAGGTTGTCTTCGGTTCATGCACACAAGATTGAAAAGCATAGCTCCAGCCTGCGTGTACTCAAGTTGAAATATTTGAAAAAAAAAAAGTGTAGTCATGAAGTATTTGCAATCCACGACTTCCCACCAAGTGTACTAAAGTTGAAATATTTGAAAAAAAAAAAAGTGCAGTCATGAAGTATTTGCAATCCACGACTTCCCACCACACTGCTTCGCGCTAAATATTAAATTTAGAATCAGTTGTTCGCTGATCACATTTCCCACTTCTCGTATGACTCAAGCCGCGCTACCTGGCGGTCCCATTCTATCTGATACGATGTCGCCGCAGGTGAAAGAGGAGGCGCGGCAGCCCCAGATGGTGTTCACGGCGCGCCACGCCACCGTCACCTTCCAGACGGACGGCGACACGTGGCGCGAGCAAAAGGAGAAGAAGGCGGCGCTCATGGTGGGGATCCTCATCGGAGTCTTCGTGCTTTGCTGGATCCCGTTTTTCATCACCGAGCTGATCGTGCCGTTGTGCTCCTGCGACATCCCGCCCATCTGGAAGAGTATCTTCCTCTGGCTTGGCTACTCCAACTCCTTCTTCAACCCGCTCATTTACACAGCTTTCAACAAGAACTACAACAACGCCCTGAGGAACCTCTTCTCCAGGCAGCGTTGACCCAAAAGACTACCGACCGGACACTGTTCGCCGTGTGTCGTTTTTGGTGTCACACTCCTAGCCAGACTTCTCCAAAAAGATGACTGAATGCCGAAGGAAGAGTGCTTTGGAAGTACGGCGGCAAACGCTTCAATGCGGCCGGGAGATGGTTGAAAGGAGAGCCGAGCGACGGTTAAGAGAGTCGACGACAAAAGCGCTCATTAGAGATCTAAAATCAGTTTGACTGGTGTTTATGAGGCAATTACGGTGGCTGGGAGCTGACAAATGAAGGAAAGCAGACACATGGAACTTGAATGAAGTCACAGCTGGAGGTACACCCGCACTATCGAACAGTGTTCGCTATAGAAGACTCCAATAAGCGTGGAATGATGTAAGCGGTGTTTCTAAATTCAAATACACCCTGCCCCCCCCAAAAAAAATTTCCCAATCTGAAATTTGTTTCTGTAGCGCAAAGTGAAATTTGCTCAGCGTGTCTACCATGAGAAGACTCACAAAAAAAACGTCTCAAGAACACTTACTCGAAGAATCAGCCATTTTCGGGTCATATCCGTGAGTCCTTCAAAACGAGATTTTGTCAGATTCCAACCCAAATTGAAAACACATACAATGATGGATGACGAAAAAAAATACAGTTGCGCCACTGAAAGTCAGTTGAACTTAACAACGTGAATCTTGGAAGGCGTGGTCATGAGTAGACCATCAAAAAATAAAATAAAAAGTCTCAAGAACCAATGCCTGAAAAAATTCCCTGCGATCATTTTCGGGTCATTTGGGAGTTTTCCAAGAGTCTTTCAAAACATCTGTTGGAAAATAGTACCATTGTCATTTTTGATGCAAAAAACAAAAAACGTCCAGACTTGAAACTTTTCAGGCCATTTAGCCCATGTGAAGCTGCTTAATTTAAAAAAATGTTGTTCCAGTGGTTATCGCGTCAACCTCACAGTGCAGAGCTACCGGGTTCAAATCCAGCTCCGGCCTACCTGGGCGGAGTTTGCATGTTCTCCCCTGGCCTGCGTGGGTTTTCTCCGGGTACTCCGGTTTCCTCCCACATTCCAAAAAAATGCATGGCAGGCTGATTGAACACTCTAAATTGTCCCTTGGTGTGAGTGTGACCGCGGATGGTTATTCGTCTCTGTGTGCCCTGTGATTGGCTGGCAACCGGTTCAGGGTGTCCCCCGCCTACTGCCCGAAATCAGCTGGGATAGGCTCCAGCACCCCCTTGTGAGGGTAAAAGGATCGGAAAATGGATGGATGGATGGACTTTATAGCGCAGTGCTTCCTTTCTACAAAGCTCCGGCACACTTTCTCTCATATCCGCCATTAAAGTGGCGGTTGATTGGACACCACCGTAAAAACTCCAACCGCAACAAAATCCATTGTCGCTAAAAGTGTTCATCTCTCAAAGCAAAGACGATTCGATACACGATGTACGATGTCAGAACCGTCCATTTTCAAATCGAATGATTTGATTCGGTTTGATTCAGTGGAATCTCGATTTGATTTCGGTACGGTACGGCGAAATCAAACCCAATTTTCCAATGCAAAGCGCTTATTGTTACACTCCGATATTGTGCAGGTGTACCTAAATGGGCGACGTGGGACTGTTCCAAATGGTGCCAGATGGAGGCATTATTGCTTTTGAGATTTTTTTTTTATTTTTAAGTCTTTGCCATTAGCCAAGGTGTATTTAAATGGTGTCGCACATATTGTTTTGATTGCCTTTCACTTTTGTTTCCCCATCAGTATTCCCAAGAAACTCTCTCTCATTCAACTCATTTGCAACCCCGATCGTTGCAGGCAGTACATCCCGGGAATTTACTTTGTGCCGGATGCGGCAAAAACGACTTCTTTGGTGGGCGTGTATTAAAAAAAAACTTTCGCATGGTGTTTCAAATGACTCCTCTTTGTTTTCATTCTTATTTCAATACACATTGCGATTGACCCTCGAGGATGTGGAAGGTAATTTGTCACCTGTCTGCTCGCCAGGTTTGACTCCTGCGTACATGGCGTCCATAACAAATGAAGCAGCAAGTTTTCATATTCACTTTTTTTGTGCAATGCCACATCGCTTGAGGTGAGTGGGAGTTAATAGGCGGGTATACAAACGATCCGTGCAAAATTGAACGCAGTTTGAAAAGCTTGTATGCGTTATTTATAAAGTCAACAAATAATAATCCCGACGGCAAAAAACACACTTGGCTAAATGATGTTTTTCCAATTATCTTGTGTACAACAGAAGCGAGGGTGTGAGTTAATTTGCATGGTTTACGGACAGAATCGGACCCTACAAGACACAGACACAGGAAAGTTGATCGAACCAAAATATTCATTTACGAAAAATAGGCGACCAAGGCCGACAAAGTAAAAATAATGACGCTGGACAACAAGGCAGGAATGATGCGAAGAAAACAAAAAGCCCTAGCACAAGGGAAAAAAAAAAAAAAAAAAAAAAACGAACGAAAATAGCTTGTAACAAAAATACAAGAAAGACCAAACTGCGCGGAGAACAAACCGTGGATACACTTAAACACATCAAAAACTACAAAAAAAACAACAAAAAACGGGAATGCATCTGCCACCTGCTGGACACTAATGGAACGTGTTCATGACAATGATAATTCAAAAATTTTAATGACCCCATCAGTGAAAATTTACACATTGGCTCATGATTTTTGAAAACACAGCAGCAGAAGCCAGTTTCATTTTAAAGCATGAAAGCCGGTAGAAGGTTTATCATCAGTAGACCCACAAAAAAAAAAAAAAAGCCTCTAGGACCCATGCTCAAAAAAAAGCACAAGTCTGCCATTTTAAGGTCATGATGACCAGTTACAGTAAATGTAACAAAAAAACTACAACGAATAAATTGTCAGCTACCTACTAATTTTCAGTCCAATCTTGTACAAAATCCCACAAAAAAAAAAAAAAAAAAAAAAAAATTCTGCCAAGTGGCATCTCAAATATTGTTTCGGGAACAGAACGAATAAAATTATCTTTGTACGTTGAAAGATTAAAAACTACAAAATGTTAAATAACTGCCCAAAAATGTCAGTGAACTATGAATTTCAGGGCATTTTGTACAAAATCCCACCAAACGCTCATGACAACATCCACCCAAAATGTCACGCACTTTCAACTGTGAATTCCAACTCAAAATGGCGCATGTGGCTTTCATAAGCGTCATTCGTTTACATTTGGATGGAGATGTTTCAAATGAAAGGCCTTTTACTTCAGATAAGAGTTCATTTAAACGCCTAAGCTCGCTCCATCACGACAGGGGAGATTTAATAAAGCGCCACTAGCACGTGCTATCTCGCCGCCGCAGCCCTGCCAGCTGGAGTCCACGTTTTCGCACGGATAGAAATGTGGCTCGACTAAACAGATTTAGACGGAGGGTTGCTGGCGGCGACGCGAGGTTACACAGCTGAATTTTACACGCCGCTTTAATCAGTGTGTCCATGCACTATGCATGCCGGCTCCAAATGACCTTAACTAGCTTTGTTAGCTTAGCTAGCAAAGCTTGCTACCACACAAGTTAGCTTTTTTTTTTTTGTCTTAACCATTTCATGCACCAATAATGATAACCTGTGACCGGATAACATGATAAGCTTTCCACTGTAGTAACCGCTGTCACCGAAAGGGTAACGTTGCAAGCGTTAGCATGTGCTGACTTCAAGCTGTAAATTTTGTATATTTGATCACAGATTCCACTCAATTTTTCAAAAATGATGTAGATCATGTTTCATCGTCGGCGATGTTTATTTGCACGCCTATTGTCTCTCTCTCGTGACCCCTTACTGCGCTCCGGCAGGTCATGAATACTTGATAAGGTTCTGAGCGGGAAGCATACCAAGTAGATGAAGCAGATGTTATTATGCTGACCCACCGCGTTCAATGGGGATGCATTTAATTAGCCTATTAATAACTAATACGATGAAAAATGAGCACACAAAAAAAAAAGTTGTCATGTGACTGTACAAACTTTAAACCCCTAACCCAATCATTAAAAAAAAGGGAAAATGCCTCTCCAAACATACGAGTGCCAAGTGATGCTAATTTTAGTTTTTTGCTCATGCTTTGTTAAATACTTCCTCAGTTATAATGTAATAAAACTTGGATTAAAAATTAGCTTCATCTTTTTGTTTCTGTTGTGTTGTCCGTAAGTTACAAAAATGTGATTTTATTTTATTTTATTTTTTTATGTTGGCACAAAATTAGACAGTGTCAAAAATAAGCACAGACAATGCTAGCCAACTCGCCTCCGCGTGTTAATTGGTATGCGTGTTTCGCTTCACATTGAAATCACGCCCGTTGCTCGAGCCAACTTATCGTTGACCACATATTAAGGATTCGCAATCGTAAATATTGAACCCGAGGACCTTGAACACCCCAACAAATGGCGGTTACGGGGACGAATGACAACCGCATCAAACTTTGCGTTTAATAGTTTGACAACAGCGGGCGGCCACTTGTTTGTTATTGACACCTCCGACACAATCATGAGAGATGGAAGTCAGCTCAGTGGAGGAGAGTCGCGGCACAGGCAGGTGATTGAAGACAAGCTTCCTTGTGCTTCGTTGCCATGACGGCAGGGCGACAGGAGAACATTCTGACACACAGGTTTGGTCAGGATGTATAAATATCATCTGTTTATATCTATATATATGTCTCTCTCTCTCTCTCTCTCTCTCTCTCTCTCTCTCTCTCTCTCTCTCTCTCTATATATATATA